CGGCGTGGGTGTCATCGACGGCCACATCTACGCCGTGGGAGGCTCGCACGGCTGCATCCACCACAACAGCGTGGAGAGGTAGGTGGCCAGCCCGAGGGCGGGCACCCTGCCTCCATCCGGCTGTGACCCATGGGCCCTCTGGGATGCTGGGGAGTCTTCCTAGCGCTGAGTTTGGTGTTTTGAGACAGGGTCTGGTTGTGTAGGTCAGGCTGAACTGGAACTCACTACATATCCCAGGCTGGCTTCTAATTGCAGAGATCTTCCTGCCTCAGCCCCCAAGGTGCTGGAGTGACTGGGGTACCCTACCAAGCCCGGCTTCTTCTGAACGCTGGGTGCGCTTGTCTGAAGTAGGGCAGCTCGGTGAAGCTGACTGGGAAACGCACCTCTAGGCAGTGACCTTGGACCACGTGTCCCCGGGGCTGGGACTTCCTGATGGGACTTTCCAGCCCCATGTGGCTCCTTTGAAGCCCGGCGTGGCAGCACACACCTATCACCCCAGCACCTGGGAGGCTGAGGCAGGAGGATCCCGAGTTCCAGTCCAGCCTGGCAACCTTGTAACTTCAGTGAGACCCTGTCTCAAAACGGAAAAAGTCAAAAAGACTGGGATGGAGCTCAGGGCCGAGGCCCTGGGTCCCAGCCCCATTTCAAAGCCCTCACCCCCAAAACAAAGCAGACTCCCCAGCTGCTGAGTTGGCAAAAATCTGAGCTGCAGAATGGGGGTTACCGGCCACTGCTGAGGCCCCTAATGTGTGTGGTCTGTGAATAGGATGGTGGGATGGTGCGTCACGCTCAGCGGGCCACTTTCAAGAAGGAAAGGGACACTGTTAATAACTCCAGGAGCACAGGTATGAATCGGCAGTGCCCGGGCCAGCGGGACTGTGGTCACCCGCCTCGGTCACAGCTGTGCGGAGAACACCAGGCAGAGGCCTAGGTGTTAGCATCGGGATTCTGGAGTCCAGCGCTGGTGCTGCGGCCCCTTGGCGGCCCTGGATATGCCCTGTCACTTTCCTGGGTCTTTGCCTCCTTCTCCATAGCCTGAGGGGCCGAGGGTATCCCCTGTCCCCCAGACCAGCTAGGGATATGTTGCTGTCACACACCTAGTGCTCTGCCTGAGACCAGGCTTTGTGTGCTTGGACAGTGGGTGGCTGCAAGTCTCAGTTGCTTTCTCTGGAAAATGGAGCCATGATCCCTCCCTCCGGGAGATGGACCCTCAGGGGTTCAAGCGGTCGCTACAGTGTGGGCCCGGAGGTGGTGGCACCCTGTCATCCCAGCACTCACAGAGGCTGAGGCAGGAGGATTGCCAGTTTGAGTCCCTCCTGGGCAACTTAGCGAGACCCACCTTTCTCCAAATGAAAAATAAAACAGCACCCCGGGATTCGAACCCCAGAACTACCAAAAAATGAAACCGGTCAGGTGTCCAAGGGCTGGGAAGAGGATGGGGCCCACGAGGCGCAGCAGGGGAGGTCTCGGTGGTCACCATCGTCCTTCTGTCCCTTGCAGGTATGAGCCCGAGCGGGACGAGTGGCACTTGGTGTCCCCGATGCTGACGCGGAGGATCGGCGTGGGCGTGGCCGTGCTCAATCGCCTGCTGTACGCGGTCGGGGGCTTCGACGGCACGAACCGCCTGAACTCCGCCGAGTGCTACTACCCGGAGTGCAACGAGTGGCGCCTGATCACCCCCATGAACAGCATCCGCAGTGGGGCAGGTGGGGGGCTGCAGGGCGGGCAGCTGGGGTCACCCGCAAGGGCCGCCTGCATCCACGCCGGCCCGCGGCGCAGGCACATGCGGCCGTTCCCAGCCTCCACGCCCTCTCTCCTGCCTTTCCTTCCTTCCTTCCTTCCTTCCTTTTCTGGGTACTGTGACCATCCCCAATGGGCTCAAGCATGCGAGGCAGCCACTCCCCAGTGCCACCCCCCCAGCCCTTTTTATTTTTATTTCGAGACAGGATCTCGCTAAGTTGACCACGCTGGCTTCCAACCTGTGATCCTCCTGCCTCAGCCTCCCGAGGAGCTGGGATCACAGGCGTGCACCACCACACCTGGCTCCTGGCTTTGTTTCTCAGGGGTTCCTCAGGACAAGGGAGAAGACAGAGGGAAGGTGGTGGCTAGGGTCCCCCAAAGCCAGGCTCCAGAATGACCCCACCTGCCCGGTGCGGTTTAGGGGTCTGCGTGCTACACAACTGTATCTACGCTGCGGGCGGCTACGACGGCCAGGACCAGCTCAACAGCGTGGAGCGCTACGACGTGGAGACGGAGACCTGGACCTTCGTGGCGCCCATGAAGCATCGGCGCAGTGCGCTGGGGATCACCGTGCACCAGGGGCGCATCTACGTCCTCGGTGAGGCCGGGCAGAGGGACGGGCCGGAGGCCAGCCCGGCCCCTCTTTTTTAAAATTTTTTTTATTTTTTATTTTTCTGTCTTTTTCGTTTTTATCGGTACCGGGGATCGAACTCACGACAGTACACTTGCAAGGCAGGCGCTTATGCCGCTGAGCTAAATCCCCAGCCACTACCTCGAGCTTGCAAGGCAGGCACTTTTGAACTAAATCCCTGGCCCTATTTTAAATTTTGAGACAAGGTTTCACTAAGAATCTAAATTCTCTAGACTCTGCTCAAATTTGGGATCGTCCTGCCTCAGCTTGCCTGGTGCTGGGATGACACACATGTGCCACCACCCCCGGCCATCCCTCTTGTCCCTGTCCCCTCAGAGGTGGCCTGAGTGGTGACTGTCCCCTCCACTCTCCCTGCAGGAGGCTATGACGGTCACACGTTCCTGGACAGTGTGGAGTGCTACGACCCGGACACAGACACCTGGAGCGAGGTGACCCGAATGACCTCGGGCCGCAGCGGGGTGGGCGTCGCGGTTACCATGGAGCCCTGCCGGAAGCAGATCGACCAGCAGAACTGCACCTGTTGAGGAGCTTGGGATTCTGGGGCAGAGAGGAGCGGAGAGATGTCTGACCCTCAGCATTGCCTTCATACATAAAACTGGGACAAAAAAATGTGACAGCAGATCTCACCCTCCAGGAGGGGGCCGGGCCACCTCTGGGTGACACCCAGAAAGGAGAGAGACCAGAGCAGGAAGCCGCAGCCCCTCAGAGTCCCCGGGTCGCCCGGCCCTGGGACCAGGCCGAGAGGTCACCTCCGTCTCACTCCGAGCTCTGTGCTGCGGGGACTTGGGGACTCGCTCACCGCAGCTGCCACTAGCCTCTGGGTGCCAGCAGGGGCCACCGAGGCCGGGCTCATCCCTTGTATCTTCACAGTGGCGTCCACAGTCCCCGGTGGGGCCAGGTGAGGCCTCGGGCTGAGGTCCCTCAGGAAACGTGGTCCCCAGGGCTGGGTCCCTCCAGCAAAGCCACCAGAGATCCAGCCAGCGGGAGAGTTGTTCTGTTGATAAATAACCCTGTAAATTTCCAATGAAAATAAAGAACAGACTAACACTGTCTTTCACCCAGCCTGAGCACAGATCTGGAGCCCAGGGGACAGACGCGACAGAAAGCTTTCCTCCTGAAGCACAGTGGCCACTGGGCTTTGGGGTGTGGGTTAGAAACTGGGCTGTCCAGCCTGGGCATTTTCCTATGTAGGGCACCTCTTTCCCATGGGAGAGCCGTGAGTCTGTCCTTCATTTGGAAGCCAGTGACTGAACTTGTCACGTCCAGGGCACCCCGAGGTCTGTCTCATACAGGAAGCAGTTTCTGCTTTATTTTGTTTTTGAGACAGGGTCTTGCTAGTTGGCCCAGGCTGGTTTTGAACCAGTGGGGATCCTCCTGCCTCAGCCTCCCGAGTGGGGTGACCAGCTCCCCAGGTTTGCCTGGAACTGTTCCCATCTGCACATTGAGACTCCATCAGCCCTGGTTAAACCGGAACCAGCTGGGTGTAGCGGTGCCCACCTGTGATCCCTGCGCTCTGGGAGGCTGAGGCAGGCGATTTTCAAGGTGGAGCCCAGCCTGGGAAATGTGGTGAGCTCTTTCTTCAAAATAAAAAATAAGGGGAAAAAGAGGGCTGAGTAAAAGGTGATGCTGGGAATTAGTTCAGTGTGAAGGCCCTGGGGTCACTCTCAGTACCCAGCCACCAAAAACACCCAGGACCCCATTGGCCAGGGGCTGGGTTGGCCTCTAGCTCTCCTGTAGCCCTGGCTAAGCATGCTCAGGTCACCTAGTGTGTGGAGACCCAGTGTGTTAGGGAAGTCTGGAGGAAGTTAGGTGACAGGTGACAGTGGGAGAGTTTGTGTTGGACAGGTGAGAGGAGAGGGGGGAGGGCAGCCCACAGGTGGGGCCCAAGAGTTCACCTGTCTGGGATATTTTTCTTCTAGTACAAGGAACTGATTGACCCCAGGACCTTTGCACTGAGTTACATTCCCAGTCACCACCCTTTTTTTTTTTTCATTTGGATAAGAGTCTTTCTAAATAGCCCAGCCTGGCCAGGCGTGGTGGCTCACACCTGTAATCCCAGTGTTAGGGAGGTTGAGGCAAAAGATTGTTGCAAGTTCAAGACCAGCCTGGGGCTGCAAAGTGAGACAAGGCCAGCCCGAAACGCATAGCGAGACCGTGTCTCAAAAATCAAAATAAATAAATAAAATTGCCCAGCCTGGGCTCCGACTTGCAAGTGTCCTCCCTCAGCCTCCCAAGTCGCTGCAATTCTCAAAAGTGTGCTGTGTGCCGCCCGGCCAGCCCTCAGGGTAACCTTGATGGGCAGCACGGTGTTTTTCCTGTTATTTCAAACTCCTGGGCTGCAGTGGATCTCCGGGTGTGAGGCCCTGACTTCCACCTACCAGGGCCAAAAGGAAAAAAAACCTCCTCCCTGACTGGCCCTGCTGCAGGACGTGCCCCTGCCCCGTGTGATCCGGTGACGGGCCAGCCCGGAAGGGCCCTCCAGGCTGATTTAGGAGGTTTTGGCCTAAAGGTGAACAGCGCCCCCTCGTGGGTGTCTGCGTTTCTGTTCTTCGCGGTGATCTTGCGGTGTGGTCCAGGCTGGGCCAGTTACCTGCAGAGCTGGACGGTTGTCCCTCTGGCTGAGCTCCCTTTCCCCTCTCGGGTGACCTCTTAGCTTGTCCCACCCCAGTCACCGCTGAACAGTCTGGGGGGTGGAGCCCGGGACCCCTGCACTGAGCTGTCTGCGGCCCTTTTTACTTTGACGGTTTGCCAAGTTCCCCAGACCGAGCTCCAGCTTGCAGTCTTCCTGCCTCAGCATCCCAGAGTGCTGGCGTGAGAGCCAGCCCCGGTTCCTGTAGCCGATTTCTTACGTGACACGTGACGGGGATAAAGTCTATCACCTGCTTTGCTCTTCCACCAGCTGAGGGTGGAGCTGGGGACCAGGCACAGGCCGGGCTCTGGGGACCCCCGCTATAGTGACCAGCGGCAGCTCAGGGTGTTCTGGGGTGGCAGGGGGGCAAGAGGGTGGCAGAATAAAGAAAAGACACAAAAGCAGGATCAGGTGGAGCCCTTGGTCTCCCGAAGGCAGAGAAGGAACCGCTCAGACACGGTAGCGAGGTCATGTATTCACTCACAAACTCCGAGGAGAGTGTCCATGTCAGCCCCGCTGCCTAGCAACTCGTTTGCCTGGTGGCCTGGGCCCTGCCTTCTGGGAGCTGGAGCAGCCTCTTTAGGTGGCTTGTTTTGGGCTCTCTCGTGTTTCCAGGGCTGGCCTTGCTTTAGCCCCACATGTGCTCAGTCTCCAGCTTCAAGGCCCCCCTACGTGGCCCTCTTTTTTGTTCTGCTGAGCACAGGATGGTGGCCAGTTGAAGCTGGAGGAGTGCGTTTGGAGAGCTCTGTAGAAGGCCTTTTTATTCACGAACCCTTTTCACTTCAAGCGCAGGGCAAGGTTTCGAAGTCCCTGTATTCTGCCATGGAAACCCCGTGCGGTGCGTTAATCGTAACAGTAGACAGCTGTCAGTGTGGCTGGCGGCTGGCAGAGCTGTTACCGATTCGAGTTTGTTTTATAACGCATTACTTTAGCACCGTTTTACACATTTTGTGGTTAAACTTTTCTGTTGGATGCTCAGCACCAAGTTAGGCTGAGAGCTGTGTTAAATACAGTCTGGTTTTGTGTTATCTATCAGGTGGGTTAAGTGCCCTCGGGAGCTGGCTTGGAACCGTGCACAGCACCTCCCAGCTCTTCGGCCAGTGTCAGCCGTCAGGAGAGTCACGGCCATCGCTTGACCAAGTCGCTTTCTGTGAACGCTTGGGAGACCTTGGCTCCCAGGCCTGCCCTGAGGGCCACCACACACCGATGGCCAGCTCCCTCTATGGCCTCACAGTCTTCCTGATCAGAAGATCAGGAGCTCACCGAGTGCAGGATGCCGCTGCAGAGGCTCTCTTGTGTCCTGGTCCTCAATGACCTCAGGGGGGCAGGGGCCAAAATGTCGCCTGTCCTCTTAGCCCATCTCTGTGTGCAGATTTTGGTCTCTAACCCTCAGCTGTTGGCCATCCAGAGGAAAAGATTGGTAATAGTCCAGCGCAGCAGAGGCAGGAAGCTTAACGTTGTCTTATCTAAACATCGAACATTTTAAAACATAAAATGAAGCTGTCCTTTTCCATGGATTTTGTCACTTTTGAATACCTGTCGAGTGTTAACAAATGGTTACATACGCTACACAGAAAATTAGAAATTAAAACCATATACACTACAGCATGTCAGTCATGATCACATTTGGTAACACACTTGAATTTTCATTTTGACATCAAATATCTCCCTTTAGTCAATCCTCCCTATCCAATACAGAAGCAGTTTTAACTAGCTTGTTGGCCTTCAGTGGGGTGTACATCTCCTGAGTTCCTGGGAAAGGCAGAGGTCTGAACCTGAGACAGAATGCTGCATGATAAACAATCCCTAGTTCCCGTTTTGGAAATCACAACACCTGCCGGCCACAAGGTTAATGACAATCTGTCATAGCCACAGGCGACTGTTTGTCTCAGAGAACCTTTCCATCAAAAACCTTATTGTGTTACTTCTTTTGACAATGAACAAAGTGAACATATTACAGTAATATATTTTTATAATTTTAGTTGGGGTGTCTCCCATAGGCTATGGAAATCACTGGGGTCTCCAATCAATGAACAAGAGCTGGTTAAATGTCACCAGGTGGCCACTTTCTTGTTCATCAGTTAAAGTCCTATCTGATAATCTCTCCCCACCCGAGGGGATTTTTGTTTCATCATCTTAATAATTTTTAATAACTTATGAAAAACTCAGTAACAACACTTAACATATTAATTTTGAACAAGAGAGACTCCCAAGTTATGATAAACAACAATGTACATTTACACAACCAATTTTAACATCATTTGGACTAACTGGGAACCAGGCAGAAGCATGCTTTTTAAATCTATTACTCAAATTAAACTTTGATTAAAAGATCCAAAAATGGGGCTGGGGATTTAGCTCAGCAGCATAAGCGCCTGCCTTGCAAGTGTGTGGTCGTGAGTTCAACCTGGTACCGATAAAATAAAATTTAAAAAAAATCCAAAAATGTAAAAAAAAAATACTAATAAAACGGAGAGAGAACTGTTGAGCTCAAATAAAAAGGAACAGCTGTTTACAGAAAGGACAAATGGACAAACATGGGCAAATGAGCTGCACAGGTTCAAACACACACAGAAACAAGCACACAGCTCGTCAGTGTCCGCAAGAACTCCCCGAGTTCCCCGGAACTGTTTCACACCCCTGTGTGGAATTAGCTCGCTTTTAGGCCCCTGTATTCTGGGGGGCTGAACACCTGTTCACCTCCAGCACCCCAGACTCTGCAAATGTGAAGATCACTAGCTCAGGGACCTCCAACAGCTGCTTAACAGACCTGACAAACAGACAGACAGCTACACGGCAGACTGACAAGCATCTTCTATTTTAGCCAAATGGAATTACACTAACTTTTTACAGTTGTAGAATTTGTAACGACAAATAGACTAGTTAGATTTTTAAAAATTATTTTACTAATCAGATTTGAGGTCAATTAGCAGAGATCCCTTGTAAAAGTTTATAAAGGACAAAATCTTTTCTGTGATTACCATATATTTTTGTCAGAGGACTTAGCATACAGTCCTACCACCTATTTAGACCTTTGGTTTTAGTTTTGGGCACCACCTCCTGAGTATCCTGGGGCCATCTCAGTATCTGAGTATCCTGAGAGTGTTGGCTCTGGCCTTGTCCTTTCTATGGGCTGAGGGGTGGTCTCTGAGGCATCAATGTCACCGGACCGAGCATCTGCTTCTTGACAGATGGAATCAACTCCTTCTCTGGATTTGGGTCCAGAATACAGCTGGACAGCACGCTCTGGCACCCAGATAGGCCATTTAGCATTTTCTGGAAAAACACAAGCGTATTCTTGACCCCAAATTAACCCTGAGCTGGGTTCCTTCCGTTGTCCAGTACGAAGACCCTTCCAAAGGACCCGTCCTAATCCTTTCTTTTATTTTTTTTTTACCTGATTAAACAGTCTTTCTGCTACTGTGGGTCCACCCTTAGTAGAATTTAAAAAGTTAATAGCATGGACTGCTGAGCGAAGTCTATTATGAGGTGTAAATCTGGCAAGGAAAGTCTCACATCTGCTTTTGCAGTTGAATCTTGAGCGTCGGGCGAGTGAGCTCAACAATTCCTCGGCCTTGAGGGTTCCGAGGGATTCTCATGACAAGGGAAACAAGGAAAGTGTTGCAGACTGTTTGGAAAGTAGAGCTGGTAGAAGCCGGGCAATCGTCAACCTTAAATGTCGCCAAGGGCACTGAAGGCGTCCACGCAGCGAGCAATGGCACAGGAGCAAAGGTAAACACCAAGACTGCGTCCCTGAAACGCGGGCCCAGCGCAGACAGCCAGCCCCAGGCTCGCTGGAGCCGCGTGCAAGGCGGAGGCGTTCTGAGGGGATGTGACGGGCTGGGGGGGCCGCAGGGACGCGGCCAGCGCTGTGGGCCCCTCGGTGGGAGGCCGCCGTAATGGGATGCGCACACAGGTGGCCGATCAAACGGGGCCTGGCGAGACCAAACGACACGGTGCAGCGTGTGACATGCGTGAAAGAGACCTTCTGGCCGGTGTGTCCAGTGGCGGCTTCCAGGTGGCGCATCGCACCGCAAACGCAAGCGCGGTCTGAAAAGGGTTAACTGCAGACGGATAATCTTGCAAGGCCCACACGACAGCGTGCAACTCAGTCTTTTGTGCAGAAGACAAACGCGGATCTTGTACTCAGTGAAAGCAGGCCACTGCACGACCTCCCCTGCCTGAAGATGACCCATCTGTGAAAACGCAGGGTCCTTTTCAAAAGGAAAGTGACACGAAGGTCACTTCATCAGTCGCACCTGCAGCGTCCATGCTTGTCGGTTGGTCCAGCCCTCAGGTTCCAAAGGCGAACCGGCCGCGCTCCCCATTGGCTGCCTTCTCAGCTGATGACAACTATGCCAGCCAATTATAATACAGAGAAAAATTCACCCGCTCTCCTCGCGCGGGCCCTTTCATCCTTTCCGCGCGTGCGCTAATTCCTCAGCCTGCTGTAGCTCCCCAATCCGACTCTAGGGGGCGCTCGAAGACTTGCTCTCCCAGTTCCCATAGTCAGCGCCCAGGACCTTTTTTTTTTTTTTTTTAAACAAAATTAATTAATGAGTAAAAAATGTTTTTTGAGGTACCGGGGGTCGAACTCACGACCTCCCGCTTGCCAGGCGCTTATGCTGCTGAGCTAAATCCCCGGCCCAATTAATTAGTTAATTAATTAATTTGTTTGAGACAAGGTCTCGCCATGTTGCCCAGGAGAAACTTTATTCAATGTGTAGCCCTAGCTGGCCTTGAACTCTCGGCTATTGTCCTGCCTCAGCTTCCCAAGCACTGAGCTCACAGGCATAAACCACCACGTCCAGCTCTCAGAACATTTTATAGTAGTGCTATTTGTGGTCATTTACATAAAACAGTTGGGGGACAGGGATTTAGCTCAGTGGCGTAAGCGCCTGCCTGGCAAGCGCGAGGTCGTGACTTCGATCCCCACTAACAAAAACTACATTTAAAAAACTGGTGCCTGTCCCATAGGAACCTCCCAAGAAGTCTGTGGTGCAGGTAACAACGAGAGAAATGGAGGCACAAAGTCGTTGGTTCCGTCTAACCCAGTTATTAAAGGGGCAGAGTTAGAACCAAATTATAAGCAAAAGCAATTTAGAGCCAAAGTATGTATTTCCCATGCTTGGAGGTTTCCCACACAATACTGGCTGCTTTTTCTGTCCCCCAATTTTAAAAGTAACACATGAGGGGCTGGGGGTTTAGCTCAGCGGCGTAAGCACCTGCCTTGCAAGCAGGCAGTCGTGAGTTCGATCCCTGGTACCGATAAAAAAGGAAAAAGACAAAAAAAAAAAAAAAAGTAACACATGCTCAATTTCAAAAATATTCAGAGAATATCAAAAAGTTTTTTTTTTTTTTTTTTTTTTGAAACAGGGTCTCACTATGCAGTTCAGGCTGGCCTGGAGCTCACTTTGTAGCCCAGGCTGGTCTCGAACTCACAATGATCCTCCTGCCTTCCGAGTGCCGGAACAATATCCTGTTTTTAAAAATAATTTTAAAAAATTAAATTAAAAAAATAAAATTATTAAAAAATAAAGTAAAAGTGGCTGATATCGACTGCAGAGGGTGAACTGATTCAGTCCTTCCCGAGTCCCCTTGGCCATTACAAGGTGACTGTGTGTGCCTCAGTCATTTTTGCTTGGGGATGGATGAACTGCCCACCAGGGAGTTTAGGGCCATTTGATGGTTCCATGCCCCCTGCACCCTGCAGCCCACACCCTCAGCCTGCCACTGTGAGCCACCAGGAGAGGTGTTCGTGATAGGACATCTGGCCTTTTACATTTGGGGAAACTGAGGCAAGGAGGGCCCCCCCATACCACGTCCTGCGGCCTGGCATTGGCAGTCCACCTCCCGATTCCCAGCCCAGTGCCCTTTCCCCAGCTCTGCCTCTTTTGCAACTATCTTGGGACAACGTCTGGGTCTCCTTGCTGCGTCTTGCATAAAGTTGAAGCATCCGGGCACTTCTACCTACTTTTCCTGTTTCATGTCCGCTCTGTGTCGGGGCTGCGTCCAGCCTGCCTTTCATTCCTCATGGGAGAAGACTGTTACATCTACTGGGAACCGAACTCAGGTTCGGCCCTCTTTTATTTTATTTATTTATTTTGAGACAGGATCTCTGTGTTGTTCAGGTTGGCCTTGAACTCCCAGCGATCCTCCTGCCTCGGCCTCCCAAGTGCTGGGATGACAGGCGTGCGCCACCACCCCCAGCCCCTCTTTTATTTTTGAGACAGGATCTTGCTAAAGCGCCCAGTCTGGGCTCAAACTTGGGATCGTCCTGCCTCAGCCTTCCAGCGTGCCAGGATTTCAGAAGGGAGCCACTGCCCCCAGTTTAACCTTCGTAGCCCCAGTGTGTCCACCCAAGCCCTTTCCAAGTGCTCTCTGGCTGCTTTAAGATCCAGACCACAGGGCCTGGGGCCGTACCTGGGGGCCACAAGCGGTCACTTCCTGGAAAGGAAAAATGAGAGCGCCAGCCCCTGAGTAGCACTGCAGGGCCCACTAGGACACGCGGCAGGTGGCTGACTTGCTGGAGGACACAGATGTGCGCAGGCGTCCTCGGAGGTGCGGGAGTGACGTCACGGCTTTTCCCCTTGGATGCCCGGATGCAGCTCAGCATCTGAGAATGCAAAGCAGCTCTGCCTTGAGTGCTACTCCCGCCGGTTTTGCTGGTGGGACAGCTGCAGGTGAGAAAGATCACCCTCGAGTGCACCCAGCTCCGGCGGGACAGAAGCCCAGGTCCTGTGTCCTGTGTGGGGTGCACACCTGTCATCCTGGCACTCTGGCAGGCTGAGGCAGGATGGCAAATTCAAACCCCGCCTGGGCAGTTTAGGGATTTAACAAGACTGCATCTCAAAAAATAAAAAAGGGATGGGGATGTAGGTTAACGCAAGGGCCCTGGGTACAATCCCCAGTGCCCATAATAAAACAAAAGCCAAAGCCATCCCCCAAAATAACCCCAAACCCAAACCTCAGAGTCACTGATGGTTAGAAACAACCGGCAGATTATGGGGTCAGTCTTCCCATCCTCCATTCCTTAGGTGCAGGCGACACGGTCCATTCTGTTTCGGAACATTTATTTTTTTGTAAATACTTACATCTAGGGGTGTCCTGTGCTATCTAGTTAGTAAAGCCCAGGGGCGGGGCGGGGGGCCCTGGTTAAGAGCTGACTGGTTAAGTTTGTGCATTCGGTCCTGGGTTCCATCCCCAGCACTGCAAAAGGCAGAAGTCGGGAACAGGGCCACCCACATACCTGCAGGAGGCTGAGGCAGGAGGACTGCAAGTTTGAACACAACCTAGGGAATTTGGCAACTCAGCAAGACCCTGCCTCAAAATAAAAAATAAACTAGGCATGGTGGCTCATACCTGTCATCCTAGCATTTGGGAGAGTGAGGCAAGAGGATTACCGTGAGTTCAAGGCCAGCCTGAACTACATGGGGAGACCCTGTCTCAAAAATAAAGTGCTGGGGATAGAGCTTAGTGTGAAACTCCCAAGTTCAATCTGCCTTACTGAACAAAAAGTAAAAACAAAACCCTCAGAAAACCCTGCATCGCTAGGCTGGGAACTTGAGGCCAGCCTGGAGTACTTAGCAAGATCTGTCTCAAAATAAGAAAATAAAAAAGGACCAGGGTTACATGTGTATTTGGGGCTGGGGGTTTAGCTCAGCGGCATAAGCACCTGCCTTGCAAGCAGGCAGTCGTGAGTTTGATCCCCGGTACCGATAAAAAAGGAAACACACACACACACACACACACACAAAAGGACCAGGGCACATCGGGAGGCTGAGGCAGGAGGACTGTTGCAAGTTTGAGACCAGCCTGGGCTACAAACTGAGCTCAAGGCCAGCCTGAACTGCATAGTGAGGCCCTGTCTCAAAAAAGACAAAAACAAAAAAAGCACCAGGGACTAGGGCACAGTGCTTGCCTGGCATTGCAGAGGCCCCACTATCCCCTGCCCCTCCCACAAGAAAAAAAGACCGGCTGATTTTTGTTGTGAGCCAAGGTCTTGCTATGTAGCTCAGGCTGGCCTGGAGTTCAATGTGAGCCTCCTGCCTCAGCCTCTCCACCGTTTTTTGTGTGAATTTTTTCAGTGACAGCCTTGTGCTCCTGTTCCAGGACTGGGCCCTGGTTTGGGAGCTCCCCGAGGCTGAGCAAGGACCCGCTTTTCTGCTCAGACCCGGGCTGACCACCGGGCCAGTGGGAGGTGGCGGTGTAGGGCACGTGGCAAATGAAACCACAGCAGCCAGGATGGTCGGTGAAAGCCTCGGTTTAATGGTGACAAGATTGAAGAACTGATTATCGATCGAGGGACCGACGGATCACGGATCGAGTGAGGGTGGGGAGCTGACGGGGCGGGCTTTGCCTGGCCAGGGCCCCGCTTCCGGGGAGGCTTTGGGGGCCAGTTGTGCTCAGGCCGGACCCGGGATGTCACCATGTGATGCCCGGCCGCAGCGAGCCGCCCTTCCTTCCCGGGACCATGGTTCAGCGTGTATAATACAGGGGCCAGGCTGCCCCGCCTTCCCCACTGGTCAGCTGGGGAAAGGCGCGCTGATGTCCCTTTTTGCCTTTGGAGAATAATTTACAAACCAACCTTACAGTATGTACAAAAAGGAAAACAAAACAACAACAACAAAAAACAAAAACAAAAAACAAGGGGAGAGAGAAAAGAAAAGGCCCCTTCGGGCTCAGCTGGGACAGAAACTTTGTTCTCTACAAAAATGAACCCTGTACAGCGGTTATGGGGTGAGGGCCGTCGGGGACAGACAGAGGGGGCTACAGTACCGTGTGCTCTGAGTTGGGGGGAAGGAGACGGGGCTAGGTCTCTGCCGGCCCGGCTGCGGGCCCAGATGGAGGGGCGCAGGACGGGCAGAGGTCGGGGTTCCTTCCTTCCCGCCGGTGCCCCATGGCTTGGAGAAGATGGCCTTCATCTGCCTGTCGTATTGCTCAGGGACTAGCTGGGGAGGGGAACCGGGCCCGGGCAGGGAAGGGGTGCCCCGATGGGGGATGTGAGTGTACACCATTATTGCTTCCTCCTAGGGCAGAGGTGGGCGGCCGGGTGGGAGTCGGGCAAGGTGGGGGTCAGGAGGACGCTGCTGTGGGGTGCAGGGGTGGGTGCCAGGGGTGGGGACTCTGGGCCTGGCTCCACTGTACCCAAGGTGCAGGTGGCAGCCACTGCCACCCGTCTCCTCTGGCCACTGGGGTCAAGGCAGAAACAAGAGGGGAAGCAGCAGGAATGGGGGGAGATAGGGGGACGTGTGCGCCTTTGCGCATGCGCCACTTTAGTCCCCCGCCTCCAATGCAAACTGAAAAATTCAAAGTGACCAGGGGGTGCCGGGGAGGGAGGTGGCAGGCCGCGGGGGTCAGACCTCCCTGCAGCTCAGGACTGATTCCGGTGGGCGGCCTGGCGACCGACCACCGCTCCTGGCATCCTCAAGCGAGCAGCTCCACCGACCCCCGATATGGCTGGGGTTGTGCAAACACGAGGCGGAAGACTTGGGGGGAGTGGGGGCGAGCGGCTGCCGCTGCGACCCCCTGGCCCGCCGGCCCTGCGCGCGATGGCTACTCCGGCTGGCGCTGGAGCTCCCCAAACCTTAGGAGGAAAGCCCGCAGCGAGGCCCCCATCTGTATTTGGGTCCAAATAAGGAAGCCCCGCGGCGGGAAGACAAGGCTGGACCTTGGGGGGTGGGGAGACTAGAGGGGTTTGGAGGTGTAAAGTGGGGAACCAGGAGTTGGGCCGTGGGGGTGTGTGTGTGTGTGCATCTACAGTTGCTGTGTTTCATCCTTTTTTTTTTTTTTTTTCTTATTTTTGTTCTTTTTCTAAAAATGTTACAATTAAAATTTAAAAAATAAAATCCGTTCTGGGACCTTGCCCCCTCGCTCCCCAACCCCCACCTCCAAAAAAAGGCCCCATGGGTATGGGCAGGGGGAAAGGGGAAAAAAAGAGAAAACCCCCCACTTTTCTGTTTTCTTTTTTCTCAAGAGGGCCAAGAGTCTTTGAGGCAGCGGAGGAGGTGGTCGGTAGGGAGCGAGGGTCATGGGTGTTGGGGTGACCGAGCTGTGGCTGCGGCTCAGGGAGGGTCCCCACCTGACTCCCACCCGCTGGGAACCGGGAGGATGGCTGGGTCCTCCCACGATGTCCCTGTGCAGGTGCAGCAAGCCCTCGTGGCAGCCTGATGGTCTCTTTGGGCCCCCACCTCGGCCGCCATGGAGGGGAGGCCCGGGGGGCCCGGGGACTCCTCTGGCGTGGACTGGGTCCTCAAGGCAGGCCGAAGGGGGCTTTCAAGAGACAGGTCACAGCTTCCAGCATCCACAGATTCCTCCTGCGCCATAGGGGGGACCACACACACCGAAGCCAAACCCCGTGGCAAATGCCCTGTCTCGGCCTCCTGGCCCATGACCTTGCCCAGCTCCTCAACCCTGAACGATCCCAGAGTTTTCATCGAATCCTGGGCTAGGCATGCCTCCTCCTCCTCCTCCTCCTCCAGCGTCAGCTCAAACTGGAACTTCTCAGGTGGGGCGCAGTGGCGGAGCCCGCTGGGCTCCTCCTCGGGCGGTGGTGACGGGCTTTGCCGGATGGCGCTATAGTACCAGTCCCGGTTCTCCTCCAGCGTGTCCAGGATGTCCTGTGCATCAGGGTGCACCAGGTCGGCCCAGGTCTCCCACAGAGGGTGAACGATGTAGTCGATGAAACCCACCTAAAGCAGAGGGGAGGAGGAGGTCTGAACATGTGGGGGGAGTGGGGCTGGGGGAAGGGGTTGTTTTGTAGGGGTGGCACCCTTGAATAGACCTCCTGGATGCCTGAATTCTAAGAGGCTGAGGCAGGAGGACTGCAAGCTCTAATCCCATCTAAGCAGCTTCCTGAGACCTTGTCTCAAAATAAACAGAAACCGCCAGGCACAGCAGGGCATGCCTGTAATCCCAGCATTTGCGAGGCTGAGGCATAAAGATCCCTATGGATTTGAGGCCAGCCCAGGCTACACAGTAAGTTCAAGGCCAGCATGGACAACATAACGAGCATTCATCTCTAAATAAATAAGCAAGCAAGCAAACTGAGGGTGCAGCTCCATGGCAGAACACACGAAAATCAATAAATAAATACATAGCTATGCTTCTGTATAAACATCAATGGAGGATTTGTTAGGAAAAAATCATGGCATATCAGAGACATTTATCATGGCATTTTTGCAACAAACAGAAGCTGGGAACTTCGCAGGAGGGTGCTGTGTGATACCTCTAATCATGTCCCCTTCTGGCCAAGGGGCAGAAACTGCTTTTCTTGTGGGAGGCAACACATCTAGCTCAAAACTACATTTCCCAGCAGGCTTTGCAACCAGACAGCGGCAATGGCCATGTGACTGACTAAGGCGGAAAGAGCCTGGAGGCGGCTGCTGCTGGCCAAAGCCCTCCCTCGCTGGAATGCAGCCAAATGGCAGGCTGGAGCTTTGCCCTCCTCTGTATGACCAGAAGAAGCACTCCGCACACACTTCTGGTGGCAAAGAAATAAGTATCATTTGTCTCCCAAGGTGCTTGTCAACAACCTGCTGTCGTAGTGCCAGATTCCTGATTTTTAGGCTTTAAGTGAGGAAAAACAATGCTTCATCTTACTCATGTCATTGTGAGTTTTTATTTGTTTTTGGAGACAGTGTCTCAATATGGAGTTTAGACTGGCTTTGACCTCTCTGTGTAGCTCAGATTGTCCTTAGCTCAGGGGGATCCTCCTGTCTCAGCCTCCCAAGTGCTGGGATTACCGCTGTGTGTGCCACCATGCCTGGCTTGTCACTTAATTTCTAACTGCTAAACATCTACCCGTCTGGGCAGGGGATATAACTTGGCGGCTGTCTGGCAAGTGTGAGGCCCTGAGTTCAATTCCTCATACCCCCCCCGCCCCCCGCAAAATATAAAATAAAAAATAAAACCCTACATGTCCATTAACAGGACAACTGAACAGCTATCCCCACTATACAGAAACAAAAAAAGATGAAACCTATGTGTAGTGAACTAAAAAAATGAACTAAGCCAGGCATGGTGGCTCACGCCTGTAATCCCAGCACTCAGAAGGCTGAGGTGGGAGGATCATTGTAAGTTCAAGACCAGCCTGGGCTACAAAGTAAGCTCAAGGCCAGCCTGAACTGCATAGCGAGACCCTGTCTCAAAAAAGACAAAAAATAAAAAGATGAACTAAATCTAAGTCACTGTTGGGAAGGAAAAGCAAACTGTAAAAGCAGATGTGTGAGCGCCAGGCTAGGGGGCACAGGCCTGTGACGCTAGGCCTCAGCAGGCCGCAGGGTAGCCTCGAGTTCAAGGCTGGCCTGAATTACACTGGAAGGCCCTGTCTCCAAAAACAAATCAGAAAGAAAAAATAAAAAGATAAATGAGCTGGTTAGGATGGCGCACACCTATCATCCCAGGACTCCGGGAGGCTGAAGCAGTTCAAATTTGGGGGATTCCAAATTTGAGCCCAGTGTGGATAAAGTTCATTGAGTGACACTCTCTCAAAAATATAGTCTCGGGGGCTGGAAATTTAGCTCAACAGCATAAGCACCTGCCTTGCAAGCAGGTGGTCGTGAGTTCGATCCCCGGTACCGATAAAAATGAACAAGACAAAAATAAATAAATAAATTCTCTAAATCAAATATAAAAAAGGGCTGGGGATGTGGGGATGTAGCTCGGTGCAAAGGCCTGGGTTCCATCTCAAGTGCCACTGTGGAGAGTAGCTAAGATCCCCAGGGCGCCTCCCATCATCTCCCGGGCCTCTTGCCTGTGACTTCTCCACGGAGGCTGTGTGCTTATCACACATGGGACTGATCTCCATGCCCCGCTCTCGTTCTCGGTCGCCTTGCTGGAAGAACTCGGCCATGATCCGGTCAGTCCACTGGCGGTACAGCTCCAGCGGCTTGGTGGGGTTACTGAGGTCTGCACAGTGTACCATGTTCCGAAGGACCTGCATGGGGTAGGGACATGGGGAAGCTTTAGACCTGGCCCTGTCCCAGCCTGGGGCCTCGGCCTGCAGGGGAGGAGAGGGAGAGGAGGAGAGGGAGAGGTGTGGGGAGACGGAAAAAGGAGGGACAGCCAGGTGTGCGCCTGTCATTCCAGCGCTCTGGAGGCTGAGGCAGGAGGATCTCCCGAGTTTGAGGCCACCCTGGACTACACAGCCAGGACAAGGTCAGTCTGCACTACAAAAGTGAGACTCCTGTCTCAAAGCAGGGAAAAAAAAAGAGGGCCAGGTGGGATGAAAGGGGAACAGACAGACGGGGAAGGCAGGAGGCAGGGGCTGAGGGGAGGAAAGGGAGAACTGAGAAGATGTGCGCTAATGTCGGATCGGGAGATGGCTGGAGGGGACAGGCTTGGCCCACGTGGAGACACGGACCGAGGAAGGGCAGCTACCCGGACTAAAGGGGGGGGCGACCACCTCCTAGTCCGGTGGGCAGCGGGCACCTGGATGCGGTCGGAGTAGTTGTCCAGCAAGAGAACTCCCGAGCTTGTCACCTTCTTGGTCTCCACCATAGTCTTCAGGTCAGCTAGGAGGGTCATGTGCTTGGACATGTCCGTGGCCAGCACCTGCGGGCAATGCGGTGTTACGGGGGCCACTGAAGCCTGCCGGCCTTCTGCTTGTAACTATCCGCGCCTGGCAGAATCTGCCAGTCCCCCCAGGTATCAGAAGTTCCCGGGGTTCGCACCCACCCCTGGCCAAACCCCGCCCACCATGTCGATGACCATCTTGCGCAGGCTCTGTCGCTGGCGCTTGCTGAGGTTCTGGAAGATGTCGCAGTTCTCTTCCTGCAGCAGCTTGAAGCCCACGGCCAGGTGGTGGTTCTCAAGCACCGACTCATCGTTGTACATGAGCGCCAGCTCCGAGTCTGCAACGGAGGACAGAGAAGTCAGAGGGAATGGAGCGCGCCACCACCCCGCCCAGCCCCGCCCCCAGCCGTGCTGGCCCCGCCCCCAGCGTGCAGGCCACGCCCCAGCCCACCTCCCGTCCCAGCTGCTGCTGAAGCCCCGCCCCCAACCTGCCTAGCCACGCCCTGAGGCCTGACAGTTGCACTCCCATTGGTCAAACTGTTGGAGCCCAGCAGGCTCCGCCTCTGACCCCGCCCCCAGCCCGCCTCCGGAGGAGGGGCGCTCACTTGTATTGATGAGGAACTGGTTGGAGACCCCAGGGTGGTCCACGTCATGGATGGCGGCTGCGAAGAGGGCTGCGAGAATCTCTAGGTCTGTGAATACCGCCTGGGTCAGAGACACAGAAATAGTATTAGAATGAAAGGGAGGACATGGCCAGGTGAGAGGGAGTTAGAGCCAGAGAGTCAGGAGTCTCGATGGCACCGAGATGGGGGACAGGTTAGGGTGGGGACCCAAGGAGGGACAGGGCTCACATCCAGGGCGGGCGTGGCCAGCAGTACGTGGGTGGACTGCAGCACGTCGGCCGCGTGCAGGCTGTTGTGGTAGGCCACGTCGGAGTGGTAGTGGTCCTCCAGCGTCAGCACGTATGTCACCATCGTGTCCACAGGGATGTGGAATTTCTTCAGCAAGTCCCGCTCCTGAGGGCCACAGGGGCAGAGCAGTGAGCCCGCTGCCCGGGAGTGCCCCACGCTGTGCCCCTCACAGCCGGCCCGTGCCCTGCTGCCCGCCTCACCTGGAATATCGTGTACATGATACAGCTCAGAGAGCGGCCTCCGGCATAATCAGACACACAGAAGATGTTCAGGCCCCATTTGCTCAAATTCTCCAGCTCCTGGTGGAGACGGGACAGAGGTCAGCACCCTTTTGCCCTGAACCCAGGACCTACGCAGTAAGCTACATTCCCTGGGCCTTTTCTTTTTCTTATGTTGGGACACGATCTTGCCGTTGTTAAGTCATCCAGGTTGGATGCGCACTGCAACCCTCCTGCCTCAGCCTCTGGCTGCTCTGTCCTGCACACTTGTTATCCACCGAGCACTTGCTTTCATCGGGCAGGTGAGGGGCCTGAGGCTTGGAGAAGTCATGTGGCTTCTTCAAGGTCCTGAGGTGGCTCACGGGGGCAAAGCACAGAGGGGCCCAGCTCAGCCTCTAAAGTAAACTGCTCCAGAGCCGGCACCCTGGATGGGGGCGGGGGCCTCACCTTCCACATCTCCCCAGACCCACAACAGCAAGGGCTCAATAAGCCCAGGGCAGCAGCGCCCTCTATAGGTGGCCAGGAAGCTCAGGTAAACAGTACCCCGAGGGTCCACTGTGTGCCCTGCCGCTGCAGTACCCCCACTTACTTGGGCCAGGAGCTCCTCCTGATCCGTCTTCACCCCGAAGCGTGGGATGCTGGCGTTGTTCAGGCCGCTGTTGTGCGACAGCCTCTTCACCCCCGTGATCTGGGACATGGGCTGCAAATGCGGCACTGGGGGTGGAAGCTGCTGGCAGGGCCTTTGTCGGGGTGCTTCTTGGGGCTCTCGGTCTTTCATCGTTGGTGACGGGATCTCCACTTCATTCTGTTTGTCTGCGCAAGTTTGGGGGGCAGGTATAAGCACCACTCCAGGGAGACTCCGCTGTCCCTGGGCTTCTTACTGTGTCCTGGGAAGACTCACCCAGAAGGGTGAACCCCACCTGAGAGGCGCACGGATGGGTGCTCTGGGGCTGGAAGCCAGAAGGGGCGCAGGAGTTCTGGTGGGAGGTGGTGGGGGTGAGCAGGGGGTCTGCGGCCAGCCCCGGGAGGCTGGGGACTGGCCCCTGGGCCACTGCCATGTTTGGCGGCGTGGTGTTGTGGGAAGCTAAGAACTGGGATGGGGCCAACTGGGGGGGCTGCTGGCTGGCCTGGATACTCAGGGGCTCTTCACAGCTGGGTGAGGTAACACCATGGTGACAACGGGGGCTGCTGGGAGAGGGTATGGCTGGCACGGGGGGGACAAGGGGGTCCTCTGGCTCCATGCCCCACCTCCCTTGGCACCACCCTACATGGCACCAGCCCCTAGAAGACTTTTTAGAGCTTTCAAGCCCAGCCAGGGCCACCCATTATGACTTGGGACCACTGGTCATGGACTGGGCCTATTTAGGGGGTTATCTGCATACCAAGCTGCCATTGGCTGAGTCCTCAGAACTCTGAGACACACCACACTCTTATTGGTGGGGTATTTGAAACTCTAGGTCCTTTTATTTACACTTGTGGGGGGGTGTGCACACCAGTGTGTGTGACAGAGAAAGAGGCCTGAATTTGGGGGTCTTTGGGAAATTTGGTGGTAAGTTGTGAGGGTGAGATTGTCCTGTGTGTTTATGGGGGTAACATTAATTTGAGGGCTTGGGTTCACAATTCTGGATCGGTTTGATCCTGAATTTAAGGATGTGGATGCATTTGAGGACACTCTACTGTATTTAGGCTTTCATGAGGTTAGGAAATTCTCCTACATTTGGGGAATCTCTCTCTCTCTCTCTCTTTTTTGGTACCGAGGATCAAACTCATGACCTCGAGCTTGTCAGGACAGGCACTTATGCCACTGAGCTAAACCCTGGGCCCTGGTGAATCTCTTACAGATTTTTTTTTTTTTTTTTGAGACAGAGTCTCACGATGTAGTACAGGTTGGTCTTGAATTCATGGTGATCCTCTTGTCTCAGCCTCTTGAGTGCTGAGATTATAGATATGCACCACCCCTGCCAACAGAGGCTTTTTTAAAGTTCAAGAATTCTATTTGAATGTGGGGCTGATGGAATCTGGAGTTTGAGTTCTGTTGGGGTTCCATGGAGTTTAGAGGGAGTTTCCAGCTTAGAGATATACTTGACTTTTTTTTTTTTTTTGTATTGTGGATCAAACACTGACCTATACCCTGAGCCCCCAAGACATTCCTAAAGGCGAGTTCCATAGAAGTTGGGGTCCCACAGAATTCAGGGGTCTCATGAGTGTGGGAGCTCTTCAGTGTGGTGGCTCTGCCTTTTGGGGAGCTAGGGGTAGGGAAGCACCCCAGCCAAGCATCCCCTCCCCTGCACTCACCGAGGAATGTCGTGGAAATGTACTCTGAGACCTGGTTTCCCGACCTGCTCATTTCTGACAGGTGTGTGAGCTCCCGGTTTAGCATCCTCTTGAACTAAGGGGAAGGAGCCAGGAAGAGAGGGATGAGGAGGGATCGTTGCTGCTGTGGGGTGCATGTGTGGGTCACCCCTTCCCAACAAACTCCTGAGGATCTCCAAAGTCCTCAGTCCTCCTGTCTCAGTTCAGAGCCCCTGGTGGACTGCTAGCAAGAGAGAGGTCAGCCCTTCCTCTTCTCCAGCTCTGGATGGGGGTCCCCAGGTTGGATGCAGAAATCAGGATCAGTGCCTGAAAAGAGGGACTCCCCTCTCCAACCTCCCCACCAAGGGAGAGCCAGAGGGGCACCTGTGGAAGGGAGGGGCTCTTGCCTAACAGGGAGCCAATGGGGTACCAGGAGAATCCCGTTGCCATGGTGATGGGAGTCTCCTTAGCAACTCCCCCTCCAACCAGCTGCTGAACTGGGGAAAGGGGGGCAAGCTGGAGGCCCCTTAACCCTTGCCTTCCCAGAGTCACCCCTGGCCTAGGGCTTGCCAGACATGAGCCCCAGTTCCTGAGAGTCCTGGCCTTCAGCCTCCAGCCCAGTTTAGGGGAAGGGACTCTAGCACCCAAGCTCTGGGGAAGAGACTGTCTGGCCAGGGCCTAAGGGAACAGTGGGCTGAGAAAAGCCGTTTGGCTACTCAGGGGAGGGGGAGGTGGCTCCCCTCCTGCGCCCCCAAACCCTAGGGACATGGACAGACACGCAGGAAAATGGGATGTACCCAGCGCTGGCCTTGGGGAGCCCTTCTGGCCCTCCCGTGCCACTTCACACAGGCCGATGCTGTGACATTGTGCACAGAGGAAAAGGACACTGGCTCCCTGCCCCCCGTCTGCCAAAGCCTCCCCAAAGCAGGAGCAGCTCTGTTCAGAGGCGGAAGGGACAGTGGCAGGAAGGGCGGTCCCTATGGGGACAGGGCGGCCACTTCTCCCAGTGCTGCCCAGGGGCCCTGGACACACGGACTGAACGCACACACGCACACACACACACCTCACACATGCCACAACTGCACACACAGTCAGGACCGTCTTGGTCCTACAGCATCACACAGCCCAGACACACAGATCCCAGGGACACAAACAACAGAGCAGTAGGTGACATTCAGGGTCACATGGCCCAGAAACATCAGGCAGCTTTGGCTCACAAACACGACCCGACACACAAAATCCCGGTCAGAGCCATGTGATCGCAGACAGGGCCACCCTGTGACCCAGACAGGACACGCGCGCGCACACACACACACACACACACACACAGAGTGGGGTCTCGGCACTGGCGCGCCCAGGAGGACCTAACCTCCCCAGGGGGCACATACCCCCAGCTGCCCGCCATCCCCGCCCAGCCCGGGCCACATACAGAGCCAGCCAGCCAGGGCTCCGCGTCCTGCCACACACGTGCACGTCTGCACAATCGAGCCCCCCACACCGTGGGCAGAGGGTCTCCTGTCCATCCTCCACCCTGTGCCCCTACCTGGTCCCACCAGCCCACCAGCCACGGCTTGGAGCAGGTCTCGCAGAAGAAATCGACCAGGGGCATCTTGGAGCCTTAGCCCCGCTCGGGGCTGCTGCGGGGAGAAGCTGGGCCGGGCCGGGCCAGGGTTCAGAGCCGCGGGGGAGGGGGTGCTGGGCAGATGAGGGGCCGTGGAAAGGGGAGCCGCGGAGGGGCCTGGGCCGGCCCAGCAGGGCTGGGGGCTCCCTTCCCCTCCGCGCTCCCGCTGGCAGCCCCGGTTACATGGCCCGCCAGCCCCCGGCCCCAATGGGCCCCCCAGCGGCAGAGGCTGGAGGTGGCGGGGGGCCCTCGCCCATGGGGGTTGCGGGATGAGGGTCCCGGGAGGAGGCTTGGAGGCTCGGGGCTCCGTGCGTGCCCCGTGTGTGCGTGTGCACTGCAGCACTAGCAGGCTGCGTGCGAAGTCAGGTGGTGTGTGGGGGGGCGTTAAAGGGGCATCAGAGCCCGAGGGGCGGGAGCGTGGGAGACCCCATAACTCCCCGCTACCCTGAGGATGCATCCGGTCCTTGGACACATCCAGATGCAGAAGCACACACTGGACACCAGACACACACACACACACACACACACACACCCCAGGCCACCAACACACACGCCCAGGTTCTTTACACTTGAACACCCAGGGGACACACTGACACCCAAATGCTTTCCGTGCCACACTTAAGGGCACACACAGGCACACGCGCACACCCACAACAGAAACAACCACAACTCTAAGGTCTAGCGCACAGTTAGGGATCCAGCTGAGCACAGAGACAAAGATGTCTCAGATATACCCCTTCCACGAACACTGGCCAGGCACACACTAGACGCACCCGTGGACACGTACTTCAAACACAAATGCCCCTTTGCCCTTGGACACAAATGTACCCTGGCAAACCAGTCAGGAAATATTCATCCCGACCCACAGATGCACGTGCGCACACACGTGCACAGCACGGGAACAACTGTGCACCCCCATCCTGGGCACAGTCACACTCAGTTGCTTGACCCACCCTCGGGGACACAATCACTTTCACACTCGCAGTTTCCCAGACAAGTCTCCGCCTACAGATATATGCACTCCCCAACAAAGACGCCGCCACCGGCACACTCATTTCCGGATAGGCACCCGCCCACAAAGGCTGCCACCGCGATGCAGAACTCCAGGAAGCGTCATTCATGCTGTCTGCTCTCTGAACGGTGCCCCTTGGAGTTGTGCAGTGCACACCATGCACAGCTGTCCATGGGAACCTTGTTGGCCTTTCTAGGAGCAATGCAAACGCATGCACAGTCACGAAGACTTAAGGGATACAAATTCGGATTCGCACCTGGACCAACTTCCACCTGCAGAGACACACATCTTACAGGCAACACCCTGTACACACAACATACACAACCCCTCACGACCACTCGTGCACACCTGCTCGCACCATCCCACAGCTCCCACTCCAAACCTAGCCCTGCAAATCAAGAGATAACAAATGAACAGTCGTACAGATCCAAAACCACAGATACACACCCGCAGCTCACACGAATGCACAACAGCCCCAGAGTCACATATATGCCCAGAGGCACATCAGACTCTACCAGCCCTGAGACAAAGCCAGAATCTGCTGGAGGGTTAAGTCTTCAAATTGTGGCCCGAGGGTTGACCTGGCCCCGGGGCTGTGCCCACTTCCCTGGCCCTACACACATCAGCCTGGCCTGAGATTGATTCTATACATACAACCCACCCCTAAGGGCTGCCTCTCCCCTCACAGACCACACCAAAGAATTGGCCCTGCCCACCTCCTCGGGGCCCAGTGCTTGGCTCCACCCACATTGGCCTTTGGTCCAATTCGATAGGTCCTACCCAGGAACTGATCCCGCCCACAGAGTGGCTCTGCCAATAGACTCTCCCTACCAGCTCTATCAAGGAATTGTCCCACTTACTGAGGAGTTGGCCCCACCTACCAGCCCCACACAGGATTGGTTTCACCAGCAGGCCCCGCCCACTTTTGGCCTTGAGTCCTGTTCCTTAGGCATTACCCAGTAATTGACCTCACCCAGCGAAATTCTTCCCAAACACCCCATAGTGGTTGATCCCATCACCGGAAGTCCCACCCACCACCCCGCTTCATGGTTAGCCCATCGTAATCCCCACCCACCACCCCTGCCGCGGTTGGCCTATAGGAACCACGCCCACCGGCCACGCCCACACACCTTGTGTGATGCCATCTCGCTGACAGAGCGGTAGGTCTGCATAGTCTCCAACTGCTCCAGGCACCAGTCCAGCTCCTCCAGGGTCTCCCGGGCCAGTTGCTGACACGTCTCTTCTGGGGAAGGGGTGGTGAGGGTGGTGTCCGAGAGGGTCCCACGGACCTCAGCCCGCCAGGTGAATGAGGTGCGGGGGGAAGGGGTGACAGTCCCCCAGCCGAGGGACTCCAGAGATAGTAAATCATGCCTTTCCCATCCCCAGGCTGAGCTACCTGACAGTGTGGCCTTGCAGACGGGGGTGGGGCCTCCCAGTGGGGACCGCCTGAAAAGAAATGGGGCTCCCATGTCACACTGCCAGCAGTGTGCCACCCTACCCCAGACCCCAGCCTCTGGTGCAGTGTCCCCTGCATGCAGTCACGTGCTCTGCCTGCAGCCTGCCAATCAGCCGCTCCGAGAACCCATTTTACAGATGGGAAAAGTGAGGCCCAAGGAAGTAACACTGGCTTTTTGGAGCTAAGCAGCAAGACCACATCTGGAGTTTCCAAATGCTCTTGTTGACTGACTACTCTGCCAAACTTCTCCAACTTGCTAGGATGCCCCTGTCTGCCTCAAAACAAGAAGCAATCCTATTTACTGAGCACTTACTATGTGCAGGGTGAAATGCTTTTTATGCCATCTCTGGGGCTCCTCAGAGCTATCAAACAGAGATATGGCTAAGATTCCCATTTTACGGAAAGGAAACAGGGACCACGGGTGCTACAGGCCCAGCACACTGGTGGCCTGGGGCTGGGGCTAGGGCTAGGGCCTCCCTACCTAGCAACCAGACCCTTATGTCTCTGTATTCAAAGCGCCTATGTTTTAGGCCCTTCAACTGCCGTGGTTTCTGGAACAGAGGGTCAGAGAGGCCAAGGGCCTGCTGGAGGTCACACAGTGGCTGAACCCTTAATCTGCTATGCCTTCCCCTCGTGATCACAGACACTGAGTCCCAGCCTCAACTTACTTGTGACTGGGAATGGGCACATTGGTCAGGAGCGAGAAGTTGCTTCGGACGCTGCGGAGACTGGCCAGCACCTGGGGTGGGTGGGTGGCAGTAAGGACGGGAGAAGGGGAGGGCCTGAGTCGATTCCCTCCTGAGTCACCTGGGGCGGGGTCTCACCTGGGCGAAGGGCGTTACAATGAGGTCCTCCGCGTGCCTGCAATCAAGGATGGTGGCCGGTCAGGGACCCATGGCTCTGTGGGGGAGGGGCGGGACAGGCTACTTACACTGCTGGGTGCCAGGGGTGATCCTGACAGAAAAGGGGCAGCAGGGGCTGCAGGGCCTAAGGTTGGCCCCTGGAGGAGGGCTGGGACCTAGGCCATCCATCTAGAGGAGGCTGAGGCAGGAGGATTGCAAGTTCAAGCCCAGTCTGGACAATTTAGTGAGCTTGTGCCTCGGAATCAAATCACTGCAGCTCGCTGGCAGAGCACTTGCCTAGCTGGGGTGACACGGGCGGATGGGCCGCCTGGCCCTTGACTGGGGAACAGAGGCATGGAAGGTGAGCGGGTGGGCAGCTCGTGCTGGGACCAGGCTTGGGGTGAGGAGAGGTTTGCTCACGCCTCGCTGGTGACCGATGAGTTGCGGGACATGGTCTTGGGGGACATGTCGTAGTCGCTGTCGGAGCGATAGAGGAAGGACTCCCGGCGCTGGCTGGTGGCTGCCCCGGCGTGCAGCACCAGGCCCGGGCTCGCCTGCGAGTCCAGGGCGCTGCGGCCGGGGGACGGCGTCGGCCCATTTTCTGCCTCGAAGCTGCAGGGGGAGAGGCGGGCGGAGTGATCAGGTGGAGACGGAGGCACAAGCCTGTCCTCCCAGCCCTCGGGAGCACAGCCCTGGCCCCGCCCTTGCTCTGCAGCTCAGATGTGCCTGGCTGCCGGAACCCACCCAAATCCGTCGCTGTCACCCTCTCTCACCCCTGGCCGGGCAGAGGGGACCCATCTATGTAGGCCCCTGTGCTGTTTTTATGGCGTCTATTCCCCCCAGCGCCACCAGAGGGCGCCACGGACACCAGTCAGATGGCATCTCCTGCAGCTCAGCGCCTTCTCTGGCTCCCACCTCACCCAGGACAAAAGCCAGGCTCCCCATTTCTGTGTCCTCCAGTTGCTCTCTGAATATTCCCGACGTAGTCTGCCTCAGCCCCCTTATCCAGTCTGTTCCTCCTCCCCAGATTCCCAATGGCCTTCCTTTCTAAGAGCCTCAGCTCAAGCATCAGGGAAGCTGCCCTACACACGTCAAATTCCAGCCCATAACCGGGTGTGGCGACGCACGCCTACTGTAACGCCCCGATAGGGAGGCTGAGGCAGGAGGATCTCAAGTTCCAGGCCAGCATGGGCAAGATCCCATACAGGTCACCACGTAGTTTAGGGCTGCCTTGAACTCACAGCAACCCTCCTGCCTCAGCCTCCCAAGTGCTGGGATGACAGGTGTGTGCCGCCATGCCTGGCTCCTGTCTCAGAATTGAAAACACAGGAAAGTGTAGCCCAGTGGTGAGCACACGCCTAGCATGCCTGAGGCCCTGGGTTTCATACCTAGTACTACGAGAAAACTCGAAAGACAAAAAACATACTATTTCCATGATACTAGTCTGCGTTCCATTCATCTTGCTTACTGTCTACCCTCCTTCCTTATACTAAACTACAGAGGAAAGACTCTTTGATTTTTTGGAGACAGAGTCTTACTGTGTAGCTCAGGCTGGTCTCAAATTCAAGGTGATCCTCCTGCCTCAGCCTCCTGAGCGCTGGGACGACATGAATGGCACCACACCCAGCCCAGGAATGACGTTTTGGTTTCTTCTGAGTGTGGCCCGGGGCACGAACCTGTGCCTCTGTGCCTGCTAAGCAAGCAGGCACCCTATCACTGAGCTATATTCTCAGCCCTAAATTCTTCTTTACAAAGAGAGGAGCGTGACCCAGTTGCCCCGAGACAGCTGCCCAAAAAAGAAATACAAGAGTACAGAAAACATCTGTTGTAGTCAGGGGCTGTGCGGAGAACAATTAGACTCAGGACACAGAGTTTATAACATTGTTTATGATCCTCACCGAGAGTTTACAGAACGCAGCCCAGGAAATCTATCCACAACACTAAAGACACAGAATATTCAGCCAAGGGCCTGGATCCCACGGCGATGTGCCACATGAGTCCAGAAGATAACCCAGAGCTCAGGACAATGCCTCCCACGAGTCCAACTGATGGTCCAGAGCCCACAAGGACTCACGCCAGTCTCTTACGGATCCGTGCCGGGAAGGCCCAAAGGTCAGCGGTGGGAGCCAGAAAGTCCATGCCAGCGGGGTGAAGGAGCTGTGCTGGTGGATGAGGTTTCTACGCTAGAGCCGAGAAGTTACACTCACAACAAAGACCAGGGCTGTCCTGAAGGCACCACAGCCATCCTCAGCGACACGCAGGCCCCGAGATCCTCCGACAGTAAGCACAGCTGAGTACCTGCCAGGAAGCAGCGTGACAGCACAGCGCACACGTCCTCCCCTCGGGAGCCAGGAGGCGATGCTCAACGTAAAGACTGGAGCTCCCCAAAGAGAACCACAGCCACTCTCACCAACAAGGGCCCCAGCTCCTCCGATGACAACGGTCGAACTCATACTGGGGAAGCCAGCGTGACGAGCTCCTCCAGGAGAACCAGCAGCTCAAACAGCCACACTTAGAGAAACCCACAAGGCCTGGCTCTTCTCCACGGCTCCGCTTATGCTGGCAGCCTCCGAGGTGGGCCATCTACACTCAGCACCAGGCTGATTGAATTCCGCTGGCGTTAAGCTGACCACCAGTTTGTTTTTTTTTTTTTTTTTTTTTGCTTGCAAGGCTGCTGAGCTAAATCCCCAGCCCCTGACCACCAGTTTTTAATCCAACACATCATCGTTTTTTGGGAACTGCAAATTAAAACTTAGGGGGCTGAGGCAGTGCTAGCCCAGCATACAGGAGGCCCGAGTTCAATTCAGAGCACCGTAAAGAGTCCTGAAAGAAATCAAAGACAAGCTAGGTGGGGTGGCACACGCTAGCACTTGGGAGGGTCCCAGCAACTCTGAGAAAGCCTGGGTTTCACGGTGAGCTCAAGGCCAGCCTGGAATATACAGCCAGACCCCGTCTCAAACAGACAGTGCAGCAGCCCTTAGTGAATTCACTCTGGCAGGCCCATGAGGACCAAAAGCCACAAGAATCAAACCCGCTGTCCTGGTCAGAGGGGCCGTGAGTCAGGCATCGGCGCAGCACGTTTGTGCTTGCACTTCAAGTTCAAAGCAAACGACGGACCCTGGGACCACAGGTGCACACCCACATGCGCTGAATACTAAATCCACGCATCCGCAAGGCACCCCGGCAGTCCACTCCCAGGGCGGGACCCTGTTACGACAGTCACGTCAGCCCCAGCGATTTAGAGACCGCGTCCCCTCAACCCAACGTTTTCTTTTGAAAATAGGAAACCATTTGAAAACTCACACGGACTACCAAAAGGACGGAAGTTGCCAAAACAACCTTGAAAAACATATTCTGAAACAAAAAAGAACCAAGTTGGAGGACTCCGCTTCCTGATTGAAAACTTCCCCCAAAGTGACAGTAATCAGAATGGTATGGCACTGGCACCAAAATCAACAGCATAGGGGGCTGGGGATTTAGCTCAGCGGCATGAGCACCTGCCTTGCAAGCACGCAGTGGTGAGTTCGATCCCTGGTACCAAAAAAAAAAAAAAAAAAAAAACCCAAAATCAGCAGCATAGAAAAAGGCCCAGAAACACTCTTGCGTGGGCAGCAAGAGTGTCCATCATGGCACCGGGTTCGAGGCCAGCCTGGCCTATACAGCCTGATTCTGTCTCCAGACCCACACACTAAGTTGGGGCTCCATCAGCCACATCTGCATCCTTTGTGCATGATACCAAGTGTTTCGAATTCCTTTCAGATTTTGGAAGCTCTGCACACACAGCATGACACATCTCGGTGCTGGAACCCAAGTGTAGACATGAAGCTCACCTGTGCCCCAGGTGCACCTCCCCCATTACCCAGAGGCCACTTCCGCAGTATTCTTTTTGATTCAGTTTTTGAGACAGGGTCTCACTATGCAGCTCAGGTTGGCCTGGAATGCCTGCCGATCCTCCTGCCTCAGCCTCCCGAGTGTTTGCACTGGGCATGCACCACCACGCCTGGCTCACACAGTATCTCTTATGTGAAATTTTTTGCCTGTAGCCTATGAGAACTTTGGATTTTGGAGCCTTTCAAATTTTGGGTTTTTTGATTAGGGAGGCTCAAGCTGTAATAATGAGACATTTCTTGATCGACTGATTGATTGTGTCTGTCTGTGTGTCTGCCTGTCTGTCTGTCTGCAGTGCCCGGGTGGAACCCAGAGCCCTCCCACTAAGCTCTGTCCCCAGCCACTTTTTTGCATTTCTCACTCTGAGATTACTAAGTTGCCTGCACTTAGCTTGAACTTGTTAGTTTTCTGCCTCAGCCTCCCGAGGTGCTGAGATTACAGGCGTGGGCCGAGGCATCTGGCTGGGACACTTCTTGCTGTGTGTCTGCCGATATCAACATGCTCTGTACGCGGTGACCCATTTATACTGCCATAAGTCATGACTTTGGGTTGAGACAGGATCTCACCCTGTAGCCCAGCCTGGTCTTGAACCCCAGGAGATCCTCCTGCCTCAGCCTCCTGGGTGTTGAGATAATAGGTGTGCAGCACCATGAAGTGGGCCTGGCTAGCATTCTGCTCACTAAAGAAACTGAGGCAGGGAGGGGCGGTGACCTCACTGCGTGAGGGGACTTTGTCCCCCAGGCTGGCGCTGCACATCCATAGGGGATCCCACCCCCACTCCAGACAGGAACAGAGCCATGGAGCAGGACAGCCAGCCCCTGGGGGTGCTCGGCCTCCTGGTGACAGAGATACCTCCCCGGGGACCCAGCTCACGTCAGCAGGAGCCTGCCAGGTACCTGGACGTAAAGAGCATACTCCTGGGGCAAGGCTGTTTGTGCAGGGGGGAGGGGTGTCCCCTGGGCCGTGAGGGGACAGAACAGGGACACAGCCACCTTGGAATTAAACTCCAGGGTTCCGGCCTGCAACTCCTGTCCCCAGAGCCACAAGCCACACTCGAGGTGACCGAAAGACTCACACCGAGCCCTACTGGACTCCCCTTCCCCGGCAGGCTGACCACTTGGTGGCACCCCGCATGGCACTGCCACCTGCCTCCACGAATGTGGGGCCACCTTAGGCCTGCCCACACAGGCTCTAGGGACATCAAATAAAGCTCTGGAGGGTGACAGACAAAAAAAAATTACAGTAAAACTGGATGTGGACAGATGCTACCGAATGTCACTGCCAAGCCCTGGGCTCTACCTGCATACACTGGTTTTTGTTTTTTTTTTTGAGCCCAGGCTTGTGTCCACTCTCCTGCTTCAGCCTCCTGTGTGCTACAATTATAGGCCGGCACTACCACAGCCAGCCTGGGTACATTTAAAAGCCCCATTTTCCTGACAATAAAACTGAGGCCCGGAAAGAATGAATAACTTTGTTTAGGAGGAGTATGTGGCCTTGAAGCAGAGCTGCCAGGCTACCTTGGTGTACAGGAGCTGGGGACTGTCCCCCAGGGCATAAAGAGGAGCAGGGCTGGGTCCCACCTCCTCCAGCCACCTCTAGGGAAAGGCCTTGTCACTTTGTGAAGGTCACACAGAGGCTGACAGAGGGCACTGGTGCGTGTCTGCCAGGCGGGCATGTGGTGCCAGGTGACAGCTGTTTGTGGGGGTCCAGGGGAGGGAGCGGAT